AGGATTATTAAATGGTGTGGTTTTTAGTTTTTTTGTATTGTGTTAAAATATACATAAAATTTACCATTCATCACCATTTTCAAGTGTACAATTCAGTGGCATTCAGTACATTCACATTGTTGTTGTAACCATCACCACTGTCCGTCTCCAGAACTTTTCATCATCCCAAACTCAAACCCTGCACATATTAAACGATAATTTCCCATTACCGCCTCTCCTCAGCCCCTGGTAACCATTATTCTACTTTCTATCTTTACGAATTTGACTATTCTTGGTACCTCATATAAGTGGAATCGTACAATACTTCTTCTGTGTCCAGCTTGTTTTGCTTAGCGTAACGTTTTCAAGGTTCATCCATGTCATAGTACACTGAGTTTTCAAGAAGCATTTATTTCAGTACACAAGGTCGTCTATTCAGTATCAGTTTCAGGCAGCTGCTGGTTTTAGGACTAGAGAAAGTTGTCTCCGCCTAACAGATCTTTACTGTCAAATTTCTTGCTGCAAACTTCCAAATATAAAAAAAGTGGTCTAAAAAAGCAAGTGAGAATGTCATGTCACTGCCATATATTACGTTATTCTGAATTAACTTCAACAGTAAAAAATGAAATACTGATTCATTTCTCCCGACAACATTTTGATATGCTCCTTGCACCTCCAAAAAGCCTAAAACTCCTGAGATGGTTTTTTTCTCCAGGGATTGCCTAAGGAATCTGAGGAATCTTTCCCCCTCTTATGGAAGAATTTGTTCATGCTCAGAATAGAGAAAAAGTAGAAGGAGAACCAGAAAGAGGAGAAAACATGTAAGCAGTTTCCTCTAACTTGACTGAAGAACCACAGTTGGAACCATAAAATGATCCAGCACTTCTCTCCCTTCTGGAAGGGTTTAATGTTTGATATCACCAGGTCTTTTCTCCCTTGCATATGCATTTCCCCTTCATCTACACAGGCTGCCCCAGGGGTATCTCCACAGAGCAGAAATCCTCGGAGAAGCTTAAAGATATGTAGGGTAAGAGGAGCCCCAGGAATGAAGATTTAAGAACAAAATAGAAAAATAAAAGGAAGTGGAAGCTAGTTCCCTATCTGGACTTGAATGTTCAGAATATTTAAAATGTTTGCTTTAACAATAGTCTGTGGTGGGCAAAATAGATGATAGCCACATGACTTGTATTCTTAAGGGCCAAGAAGCAAATTAAAAAAAAAAAAAAAAGAAAAGTTCTGAACAGAAATGAAAAAAATAAGATAAATTGCATAGTTTTGTTTGTATGTTTGTTTGTTTGTTTGAGATGGAGTCTGGCTCTGTCACCCAGGCTGGAGTGCAGTGATGCGATCTAGGCTCACTGCAAACTCCAGCTCCCCAGTTCAAGCAATTCTCCTGCCTCAGCCTCTTGAGTAGCTGGGATTACAGGGACACACCACCATGCCAGGCTAATTTTTGTATTTTTAGTAGAGACGGGGTTTCGCCATGTTGGCCAGGCTGGTCTTGAACTCCTGACCTCATGATCCACCCGTCTTGGCCTCCCAAAGTGCTGGGATTACAATGCTTACACCTAGAACAGATCTGTCACCTTTCAAACTTACAGTGTGGACTTACTTTGTTTTCAATGCATTGATATTTATGGTACCTATGGATAGTCCATGTACTGAAATAAAATTGATTTAGGAATTTTGTAAGTGTTCTAAAGGCATGCACAAGTGCATACTATATATATAGTGTGTGTGCATGTGTGTGTGTATAAATGAGTAACCTTAGACTTAGATTTGTTAGATAAGGAAGGTTTCAACCTTCCCCAAAATGCAAATGGAGAATTTCAAGTATATAAACCAAATATTGGCATTATATCTCTGGAACACAAACATCTTATGTTACTTTATGGTACTTACATAATGGCCTGAGTGCTGTAGTTTTTGCCAATATATTTTACATAATTTTGTATACAATTTTAGTGGTATAGAAGGTAAATGACACGACATAAGGAATTGTGTAACGAAATGACTTCTTGGTTCCCTACAGCTGTAAGTATGAAAACACATCGGCCAGGCACGGTGGCTCATGCCTGTAATCTTAGCCCTTTGGGAGGCCGAGGCGGGTGGATCACAAGGTCAGGAGATCGAGACCATCCTGGCTACATGGTGAAACCCCATCTCTACTAAAAATACAAAAAAAATTAGCCGGGCATGGTGGTGGGCGCTTATAGTCCCAGCTACTCGGGAGGCTGAGGCAGGAGAATGGCGTGAACCCGGGAGGCAGAGCTTTCAGTGAGCCCAGATCGCTCCACCGCACTCCAGCCTGGGCAACAGAGCGAGACTTCGTCTCAAAAAAACAAAACAAAACAAAACAAAAAAAACACACCATGAAAAGGCAACAAGCTTCTTCCAGGCAATGGAAGGCTTTTTGGGGGAGAAAAGAAAGTGAATTACAGGTTTAAACCTAGGAATGTCATTTTTTGAACCTTGTTTAAAATGTTTTCAATCCTTCTAGTGGTTTGTGAGCTCCTGGGGTTTCTGGGAGGTGTTTGGGAACTGGATAGAGGGTTAGTTCATGCCTTTAAAAGCCAATACATTTCCATTTCTATTTCATAACCAAGTAATACGCCAATTATATATGTATTTTATATACACAGACACGTATTTATTTTTACTTCAAAACAAAATGGTGTGAGGCCTTTCAAGAAAATGCAAGTGGAGAAGTCACAGGGGGCAGGGTGGAGACCATTTGGTGGCGCCCACGAACTAGGTTTCTCCGTTGGCTTATCTCTTAGTGGATCATTGCTAGCAACCAGGGTGTTTTTAAGCATTTGACCATTTTCCATCACTTTTATTCGCCTTCATATATTGTTTCATTTATACCCTTAATATCTCTTGTTTTAAAGACAGGAAACAAAAAGAACATGGATATTTAAACACAAGTTAATGAGGAACTTTAAAATAACAATAATTCTACAAATTTACCTCAAGATACTCTACCAAATTCATAAGTTAAATTTATCTGATCAAAATTCTTGTATCACATGTCAAGATGTTTCTTATACAGCAAAAATCAGTAGAAAAGAAAAAATAGGCCAGGTGCATGGTGGTTCACACCTGTAATCCCAGTACTTTGGGAAGCCAAGGCAGGAGGATTGCTTGAGGCTTGGAGTTCAAGACCAGCCTGGGCAACATAGTGAGATCCCGTCTCTATAAAAAATATTAGAAAATAAAAAAGAAAAAGAATAAAATGGGGCTTTTTAAAAATTGGCAATAAGGCTGGGTATGGTGGCTCATGCCTGTAATCCCAACACTTTGGAAGGCTGAGGCAGGTGGATCAATTGAGGCTCAGAGTTTGACACCAGCCTGGCCAACATGGTGAAACCCTGTCTCTACTAAAAATACAAAAATTATCCAGGCATGGTGGTGCATGCCTGTAATCCCAGTTACTCGGGAGGCTGAGGCAGGAGAATTGCTTGAACCTGGGAGGTGGAGGTTGCAGTGAGCTGAAATTGCACCACTGCACTCCAGCCTGAGTGACCCTGTCTCAAAAAAAAAAAAAAAAAATTGACAATAAAAACAACCTGTTGCTTCATGGAGGACAAACCTGCTTGCAAAGCTCACTCTGATATCATTTTTTAAGCAAAACTCTAAGAACAAGCCAGTCAGTTAAGTTAAAACCAAATATTAGATTATGAAAAGAGTTTTTGTCTATTTTTACAGGATAAGATACAAATAAATTTCACTCTTTCTTTTAATATGTACTCTGTTCCCAAACCAGAAACAAAGCAGTTTTTAAACTTGATTGTCAATAAATCTGCTTTCTCCTACACAATCAATGAAAAGTAATCTAAACAGTGTATGTCAGGCCTTGTGCAGTGGCTCACATTTATAATCCTAGCTTTATGGGAGGCCTAGGCAGGTAGATTGCTTGAGCCCAGAATTTCAAGACCAGCCTGGCCAAGATGGTGAAATCCCGTTTCTACTAAAAATACAAAAATTAGCCAGGCATGGTGGCAGCTGCCTGTAATCCCAGCTACTTGGTAGGCTAAGGCAGGAGAATCGCTTGAACCTGGGAGGCGGAGGTTAAAATGAGCTGAGATTGCATCACTGCACTCCAGCTTGGGCGAGAGAGCAAGATTCCACCAAAAAAAAAAAAAAAAATTGCAGAATCGGTGTCAGCAACTTGGAAGAAAACTCTGCAAACAAAAGTCCTCTTTTTTTTTTTTTTTTTTAAACTCCTAGGAACCAAATTGTTGTGGAGAAGGAGCAAATCAGACATGTTTAGCAACATTCTTTAAGCAGGAGTCAGAAGTAAGCTAACACTACATAACTGCTAGGCCAGCTTAGGAGCCCAGGACCGATGACTCTCAGTTGTTTTATGGATTATTTTAAGAAATGCTGCATCATCAAATTCTTAATATAGAGGATGATACATAGATAAGTGTAGACATCAAAGAGTCTGAGTCAAATGCTGAATGTGGAAAAGTTTTAGGAATACCTAAACCAATTTATTTTGCTTAATGTTTCTCTTTTTCATGTACAAGTATGCAATATGAGAAAATAATCTACATTTAATTAAATTTATAACAGCCCTTTAATAAGTATAAAATGAACATTCCGATCACATCATAGTTTAACTTGCATTTTTTTTTCTTAATGGCAAAAATCCAATGATGCTTCTTACAATGATAGCATCTTAGACTCAATGAAAAGTGGGGATGAAATGAAATTTGGGGGTGCAGTACCTTCCCCTCTTCTCCTAAAACAGATAATGAGCTTGAATGATCTATAATGTTTGCTAACTCTACTGCTTTCCTAACTGCTTCTCGTGGTGTTCCATTTTAATAAAAAGCTGTGGGCTGTTCTTATTTTTGTTTGACATGGGGACTTTTTTTTGGCCCAAGACTTTTAATATCATGTGGTCCCTATTTAACTCTCCCTAAAATATTTCTCGGGAGGAGAAATTCTAGTAGTTCAGTTTCGCTTGTATGATTTCTTTCAAAGTGTCAATTTACTCTTGTTTCCTTTGCTAGGGGTGCAGGCTGCATCTTTATTGAAATGTTCCAGGGTCAACCTTTGTTTCCTGGGGTTTCCAACATCCTTGAACAGCTGGAGAAAATCTGGGAGGTAAGAGAAGAATTCTTGTAAATAAAATGGAATATCTGCGTTTTAAGTTTTGAACCAAATTTGCCTTACAGACAAATGAAGCAGTCCATCTGCTTTGAGATATTAAGCCATATATTAAGATTGTAGAAACTGTAGCATTTGCCACAGCTATAAGCACTCTGGGAATGTGTGGTCAGGAAACTCCCTGTTGCCCCATAGCAGCCCGTGAATCCAGCTCACTGAATGACATTCAGGTCTCCTGCTACCCATCATTATTATTGTCTTAACCTCCCCAGGGCAATTTCTGCCATTACTACTCAGACACGCCCCTACTTTGCTACCTCCAGTTCTAATGCTACCATATATTTGGCCCTGGATCTTTGTCAACTGAAAATAAGACAGAGAATTTTCAACTGGGTACAGTGGCTCATGCCTGTAATCCCAGCACTTTGGGATTGCTTTGAGCCCAGGAGTTCAAGACCAGCCTGGGCAACATGGCAAAACCCCGTCTCTACAAAAACATACAGAAATGAGTGGGCTGTGTGGCGCACACCTTAGTCCCAGCTACTCAGGAGGCTGAGATGGAAGGATTGCTTGAGCCTAGGGAGGTCGAGGCTGCTGTTAGCTATGACAATGCCACTGCACTCCAGGCTGGGCAACCAAAAAAAAGACACAGAATTTTCATAGAACCCTGATAGAACAGAGGCTTTCCATCTCAGTGTGAGAGAAGTGTACCATTTATCATGCTTATCCACAACCAAGTTCCTAAAGTGTCAAGGTGCCTTTGTGTGTGTATGTGGCTCCATTTCTTCATTCATTATTTATCCCTACCTCATTTGCCTACGATATGCTTTGTTTTTATGGCCCTTATATAATACTACAGTCATACTATAGTCATCTGTATATTTCCTTTTTTGGTCATATTTTTATTGTGGTAAAATATATAAAACATGAAATTTACCATCTTGACCCTCCTTAAGTGTACAGCTTATCGGCATTAAGTACATTCATATAGTTGCGCCACCAACCACCATCATCCATTTCCAGAACTTCTCTATCATCCCTAACGGAAGCTCTGGACCCACTGAACAATAACTGCCCATCTTCCATCCCCTAGCCCCTAGTAACCTTTAATCTACTTTCTGTCTCCCTGAATTTGCCTCTTCTAGGTACCTCATATAAGTGGAATCATACAAATTTGTCTTTTTGTATCTGACTTATGTCATTTAGCATATTTTTAAGGTTCATCCATGTTGTAGAAAGTGTCAAGGTGCTTTAAATCGGCAGGGTGCAGGGGGGTACTTTATTACTTGCTATCCTGGATCCCGCTCTTTGTCTTCTGGCTAAAATAAAATGTACTTTGTGAAATTAAGACATTTTATAGAGATTAATTACTGACATTAAATTTTCTTCTAGAAACATGGGGGCTATTATGAAGGAACATGGGAAAAACTGGGAAGCATTCACAACTAAAAAAAAAAAAAAAAAAAAAAAAAAAAAAAAAAAATCCAAGCCAAAAGACTTTTTCTAAAAACGTCCATGCAAGGCAGAGAAATCCTTTCTTCACATTGTGAAGAAAGGTGCTATAACATCATCTAAGCTGGAGACAGCCTACTGTAATAGCTCTGAAGTCAGAAGACCTGGGTTTGAATTCTAGCCATTTTCTAGCTAAATGAACAAAAGCAAGTTATGTAGTCCCTCTGAACTTTCGTTTCCTTGTCTGTAAAATGGGAACAGTGATAAGGACTTTCTAATTCTTGCTTTGAGAATTCCATGAGAACAAATGCATAACAAGCTCCATGCACCATAAATGCTCAATAGATGTTTGCTTTCTTCCTGTCTCATACAAATTGTTGTACGATGTTTCAGTAACCTAACTGCTAGCAAATATTACCTGAAATTTAACCTGATTGTTCTCTTCTTTCACTTAGCAGTATTACTTCTTGTCCACAATAGAGGAAGCACAATTGCAGTTCTGATACTGCAATGACCTTTTATACATTTGCAGAGTTTTTCCTGGTCATTTAATCAGGAAACAACACTTAGTGGTTATTCACCATATATAAGGTAACTCTATAAGACTCTACAAGGTCTTGTAAGAAGCTGTAAGCCAAGAGGGGAAAAAAACAGAATAAGAAAAACACATGATCTGTATTTTCAAGTGTTGTTCAGTCTAGGTAGAGCAATGGTGAAGTATAAGTAAATATATGTGAAACAAACATAAGCTATGTATATATGTAAAAGGATGTATCTAAAGATAGTTAATATAAATTGTAATAGTGAAATAAGATGTGCTATTAGGATATTTGAAGAGTAGTTTATTTGAAAAAAATGTAAGTATATCCTTATGTGCTATTAGTATTTGAAGAGTTGTATATAAACTGATTTTTTTTTTCTTTTTTCTTTTTGTTTTTTTGAGACAGAGTCTCACTCTGTCACCCAGGCTGGAATGCAGTGGTGTGATCTCGGCTCACTGCAAGCTCCACTTCCTAGGTTCAAGCGATTCTCCTGCCTCAGCCTCCTGAGTAGCTGGGATTACAGGCACATGCCACCACACCAGGCTAATTTTTGTATTTTTAGTAGAGACAGGATTTCACCATGTTGGTCAGGCTGGTCTCAAACTCCTGACCTCATGATCTGCCTGCCTTGGCCTCCCAAAGTGCTGGGATTATAGGCGTGAGCCACCGTGCCTGGTCTTGTAGACTGATTTTTAAAATACAATATACAGTTAGGCACAGTCATGTGTGCCTGTAGTCCCTACTGCTTGGGAGGCTGGCAGGAGGATCGTTTGATCCCAGGAGTGTGGGCAACGTAGTGAGACCCCCATCTCTAATAATAATAAAAATAAATTTAAAATAACCCTTTAAAATATGACATACTATCTTTGAATGACGATACAATTTAAAAAGCAATCATTTTATGATTCTTTAGTGTATAGTTACCACAGCACTTAGAAAAATCATAGAATAAAGTGAGCAAGATGCTTCTCAAGGCCTGATCACTCTTTAGGACTCACAATGGGCTAGGTACTATGCTGGAAAGAGAAAAAATAATAATTTTCTAACCTGCTTGAGACATAGTGGTATAAATGATAACGCAGCTGCTAAACATGATGACTTTCTCACTTTGTCCGCAGAGCAAGAAACTACAGATGCAATAACAAAATTGCATTCAATGAACATGGGACTGTAGATAACAAACTAACTTCATTTCTTTGTATATATGCCCTGTATTGGGATTGCTGGATCATATGGTAGTTCCATTTTTAATATTTTGAGGAACCTCCATACCATCTTCCATAATGGCTATGCTATTTACATGCCCACCATCAGTGTGCAAATGTTCCCTTTCCTCCGCATTCTTGCCAACACCTCTTTCATCTTTTTGATAATAGTTGTGAGGCGATATCTCACCATGGTCCTAGTCTTCATTTGTCTAATGACTAATGATATTGAGCATTTTTTCATATACCTCTTGACCATTTGTAGGTCTTCTTTTGAGAAATGTGTATTGAGGTTTTTAGTCCATTCCTGCTACCATAACAAAATCCCTTAGACCGGCCATTTTACAAAGAACAGAAATTGACCGGGTGTGGTGGCTCATGCCTGTAATCCCAGCACTTTGGGAAGCCGAGGCGGGTGGATCACCTGAGGTCAGGAGTTCAAAACCAGCCTGGCCAATGTGGTGAAACCCCATCTCTACTAAAAACACAAAAACTAGCCGAGTGTGGTGGTGGACGCCTGTAGTCCCAGCTACTTGGGAGGCTGAGACAGGAGAATTGCTTGAACCCAGGAGGTGGAGGTTGCAGTGAGCCAAAATCATGCCACTGCACTCCAGCCTGGGCAACAGAGTGAGACTTCGTCTCAAAAAAAAAAAAAAGGAACAGAAATTTATTTCTCACTGTTCTAGAGGTTGGAAAGTCCAAGATCAAGGCACTCACTATATGCTCTTGTCCAGTAAGAGATTTGGCTTCCAAGTTAGTGCCTTGTGGCTGCATCCTCCAGAGAGGATAAATGCTGTGTCCTTACGTGGTGGAAAGGCAGAAGAGCAAACGGGCCTGGCTAATTCTCTCTAGCTCCTTTATAAGGGCATTCATCTCCGTCCTTGTGTCCTAATCACCCGCTGAAGGCCCCACCTCTTAATACTGTTGCATTGAGGATAAAGTTTCAACATGAATTATGAAGAGAACACAAACATTTAAACCATAACAAGTGCTTTGCCCACTTTTTTTTTTTTTTTTTTTTTTTGGAGATCAAGTCTCACTCTGTTGCCCAGGCTAGAATGCAGTGGCTTGCTCCCAGCTCACTGCAACCTTCGCCTCCCGGGTTCAAGCAATTCTCCTGCCTCAGCTTCCCGAGTAGCTGGGATTACAGGTGTGCACCACCACACCTGGCTAATTTTGTATATTTAGTAGAGACGGGGTTTCACTATGTTAGCCAGGCTGATCTCGAACCCTCAACTTCTGGTGATCCGCCTGCCTCAGCCTCCCAAAGTGCTGGGATTGCAGGCGTAAACCACCGCGCCCAGCCCTTTGTCCACTTTTTAATGGGGTTGTCTTCTTGCTACTGAGTTCCTTGTATTTTTTTGATATTAACCCCTTATCAAATGTATGGCTTGCAAATATTTTCTCCCATCGTAGGTTATCTCTTCACTCTATTGATTGTTTCCTTTGCTGTGAAGACACTTTTTAGTTTTATTTATTCGCATTTGTCTATTTTCACATTTGTTGCCTATAAGCAGGTTAGAAAATTATACAGATTATAAATAGTTCCTGAATTTGTGTTTTACTAAACATGGCCTACACAGATGAAAATAGGAAAGCTTCTTCAGAATCTGTGATATTTGATGTCAGAAGTGCATGTCTGAAAGCAATGGGTCCATTCTAAATCTCTTAACCTCTAACCAAAATTTGTTCTCCATTTATCCTGAGATCTCATTCTTAGGAATAAAAACACATTGAGAAGTCCTGAATCTTTGTTTTACTATTTTTCTGAAATGCCTGTAGTGTATGTGTTTACATCTAAATAATAGCTGTCACCACTTTCTGATCAATTTTAAAAACTGATTTTAAATAAGTGTTTTTCATAAATAATCCTGGATTTAGTTCTAAAATCAGAAAAAAATATGCAAACTTTAAATCCATTAATCAAAATGCTTTTAGTTTCCTTTCCAACAAAGGCAGATAAACAGCCCCTTCAGACCACTGTGGTTTGAAACATAGCACTCACTGGCTGCCTTTTAAGGGCCTTCAGGGAGGGAGTAAAACAACAATTTTTGGTTTTCAGTTTCCCAGACAGTGAAGGAGAGATTTAGTAATTTTCTCAAGTGAAAAAGAATTCAATAACTTTCAAATAGAAACTGAGGTCAAATTTCCAAATAAAGTATATTGAATTTTTGTTTAAACTTTTAAAATCTCAAGCTTAAAGCTTTGAACGTAAGATTAAAAAAAAATTTTTGGTATCCATTTTGTTGGCTTTAGTTAAATATCATACAAAGTAACGAACCATCTGGTAACTGTCACCTTAGAGAAAACATGATAGTGGTTGTTATGTATTTCTCCTATTGTTTTCTCTTCATTATATTTGCTTTCTTTTCATTGCACTTTGCCAGCCAACAGAGGATGTATGGGTACATGTGATTCACACCCCCTTGTTTACACATGCATCTGTGCAAATACATAAGGTGGTAGGTTCAAAAAGAAGAATTAGCTTCCTGTCCCCTGGCCCTCTCCCACAAAAGAAGAATTAGTCCAGTTGGTTTTTCAAAATGGATTCCAGGATTCTTAGTGTTCCCTCGGGCTCAGGGTGGTTGATAGGAAAAGCCTGTAATCCTCTCAGTTGCTTTTTAGTTTGTTTAGGGAATGGATCAAAGAAGGAAGATTTTACTGGGTGGCATGATTTTTTTATTATATGAGGGAAAATAGCACTTCAGTGTCTTTTGTTTAAAGACAAGCTTAACAGATGCCAAAAAGTACACCTCTCAGCCAGAGTCCTAGTCAACAAGCTGATAGATATTAAGATTCTGGATTCTTCATTGATTATATTCAGTCATTGTTGGGCAATTGACTCCCTGCCGTAATAATTGGGCCAGTATCTATAACCAGCATTTTACGGATGGATTCGCTAGACTCTTTCTGTAAGAGATGTTTCTAAAAAGAGTTATAGTGAGATATGCTTCTAAGAAAAGTTATACTATAGTAGTGTAATGAAAGCTACTAGTGTTTTATTAGTATTTCACAAAAACAATGTTACTCTAGCTACCATATATGACTGCCTATGGGCTTTTATGATTATTCTAAAAAAATACTAAGGTATTGCCTACTGGGGAACTCAGTAGCTCCATCCAAAGTCTGAGCTGTTTGGGCTTTGTACTCCAAAAGACTTTATTTTCATACATCTTAACTAAAAACTAAGGCTTTAAATTGGTAATTCAAGGCTGGGCGCGGTGGCTCACACCTGAAATCCCAGCACTTTGGGAGGCCGAGGTGGGCGGATCACAAGGTCAAGAGATCGAGACCATCCTGGCTAACACAGTGAAATTCCGTCTCTACTAAAAATACAAAAAAAAAAAAAAAAAAGGCCGGGCACGGTGGCTCAAGCCTGTAATCCCAGCACTTTGGGAGGCCGAGGCGGGCAGATCACGAGGTCAGGAGATCAAGACCATCCTGGCTAACATGGTGAAACCCCGTCTCTACTAAAACTACAAAAAAATTAGCCGGGTGTGGTGGCGGGCACCTGTAGTCCCAGCTGCTCCAGAGGCTGAGGCAGGAGAATGGCGTGAACTTGGGAGGTGGAGCTTGCAGTGAGCCGAGATCGCTTCACTGCACTCCAGCCTGGGTGACAGACCAAGACTCCGTCTCAAAACAAAAACAAAATCGGTAATTCAAAGCATAGGCCAGCTCTTTTTCAAGTGATGTTGTTCCCATGACAATCCATTAGTGAAAAACCAAATACCATATTCCAAGCTGCTAGTCACAGAGAAAACAAGCAGATGAGATGAATGTGATAGAAAGGACTAGAGTTAGTTTTGGGGTCATCTGTAGCCAACATTCCATTGTGTGAAGGTCAGTAATCTGAATCCTTTTTAATTTGAGCACATTGGGGAACAGCTGAATACCCATACTGAGGCATAATTTAGGCTGTCAAGTGTCTCCTGTCAATATACATATTGTCATCTGATGTAAGGCAAAGAGACAGTCACTCCTGCTTCTTTATATCCCTAGCTCCCAACATGGTGTCTTAATGCATGATGATCATGCAGTAAATCTTTAGTGATGAGAACATGACTTTAAGCAAGGCTGTATGATCTGTCTCAGAACAAGTGAGTCAGTAAGAATGCAGGCCCAGGACCATAGGAATGTATTACAGTTTTGCCCAAGAAACCACAAACGTTGGAAACACTCAGAGTTCTTTCCTGTATACATCAGCTAGTGTCATGCAATGGGACATATATCGGTTCTTCCCTTATCTGTTCTGCATGTCTCCATACCTCTTCCATCCACCTCTTCTCCCCACCTCACCTGTCTTTTTCTTTGTTTGGCTTTATATAGGTGCTGGGAGTTCCTACAGAGGATACTTGGCCGGGAGTCTCCAAGCTACCTAACTACAATCCAGGTAACATTGATCTGAGCTTCCGAATACTCTGAGAATTAGTAATGTAAGGAGAGAACTGGCCACACTAACAGGGCGTTCTTCTTGTATTATGAACTCAGCAGCAAAGATCGGTGTAGAGGAATTTCTACATTCATATATTCCCTGACTAATCTTTGTATGAGGAAGACACTGAAATAGTAATTGAGGTTAGACCAGTTCCCCAGCTCTGTAAAACAAGTAGCAAGCTGAATATAATTTGAAGTGACTATTACTGTGGATTCCACATCCATTGTCAAATACCCAATGGCTCAAAAGAACAACTCAAAAGATGGGCTCACTTTTGGGCCCCCTGATTGTCATAAGTTTATGGATTAAATTGTTAAATTTCATAAGTACAAAAAGAAAGCTAATGCAACAGAACAGAGGTAGAGGCTCGCTAGGCCTAGGACATGCCAAGTAAGCTGTCTCTAGGTTATACTTACTAAGAGTTCATTCATTGCCTGTAAACCTGACATTGGTCATTTTCTCTCACATTTGGTCTTTCAAGACTGGCTTCTGGGATGGATTTAGAAGTGCTAGAAGTGTTATCCATGGGGAAATTCTTTGAGAAGTTGTTGCAAGGCCACATCGGAGGGATCAGATTAAGCAGTAGTCACTTCAAGGATGTTGAGACAGAAGGGAGGAGACAGGCATTGAACTACAGGATGAAGGATCATATTAGAAGCTGAAGAAGCAAATAAAGACCATGCCAAAGCTGAGCTCTCACTGGCAGGGTTAAAGGGGAGGTAGAAAGGTACAGATAAGGACAAGGTTAGGGTGGATGTGCTCCAAGCCAGATTTTCTAGTCTATAATTGTTCCAATACTAAAAACGAAATCTTCCCAAATTGTTGTCCTTACTAACTTTTTTTTTTTTTTTTTTTTTTTTTTGAGATGGAGTTTTGCTCTTATCGCCCAGGCTAGAGTGCAGTGGCACGATCTCAGCTCACTGCAACCTCCGCCTCCTGGGTTCAAGCAATTCTCCTGCCTCAGCCTCCCCAAGTAGCTGGGACTACAGGCACCCGCCACCATGCCCAGCTAATTTTTTGTATTTTTAGTAGAGATGAGGTTTCACCATGTTGGCCATGCTGGTCTCGAACTCCTGACCTCAGGTGATCCACTTGCTTCAGCCTCCCAAAGTGCTGGGATTACAGGCATGAGCCACTGCACCTGGCCTGCTGTCCTTACTAACTTTGGTATGAGATTATCCTGGAAGGGTTTCATAAGAGCAAGAAATTTTAGATAGAGTTAAAATGTATTAAAGAGGAAAATAAAAGACATAGGGAGCCGGGGACTTTTTTTTTTCTTCTTTTCTTCAGCATCCAATATTTTGTTTACGGCTATCCATAGGGATCAGGCATCTTGAACCACCAGGATTATGGAAGCTCTACAGCAAGCTAAAGACTAACTGTAAAGTCCTTTCTGCTGCTGTGTGAATGGTTATATCCATTACCAAAGGCCTTAAAATCATTTGCAAATGGTTTATGATTTCTAACTATTTTTCTAGAGTTTAACACCTGAGAAAAATGCCATTCTCTGGTCACAGGGCTTGGAATAGTGCCTATTTCCATTGGTCTGAGATAGAGAAAAAAGAACAAGTTTCTTGTGGAGCCATGGTCCAGTCTGCAAATTGCTCCTATCTCCAGTTGCCATGGTTTCCAGGAGAACTTGGCTCTCATCTTTTCCTGCCCTGCCTGTACTTCTCCCTGTCCACTCTGTTCTCTATTTTCCCTCAGCTTCCTAACTGAGGATGCCAGCAGAAGTTCAGAGTCACAGATGGATTGTAGGAAACAATTTGGATGATGCCAACACAAAGCTACTGTGGTGGGCATATGCTGCTCCCCCAAACTTCAGACATTTGGGTTTCAGGTTGGTTCAGGCAATCAACAGTGATCCTTAATACAAAATGTCTTGGTGAGAGCAATAATCATAGAAACTTGGCCAAAGTGCTTCCCTGCCAGATTGTGTGCTTAATAAGATAACTGGGTTCCAATAAAACAGAGAAAATATGTTGTATTTTTTTAAATTTCCTGTTGTTTCAAAACAATGTGCAGTTTTTCTATATAAGAAGAAAAGTCTCCAGGCCCAACATCCATAGGGCGCATCATCCATTGTTTTTCTTTTAAGTTTCAATTTAATTCGAATAGGTCAAACATTTTCAGGCACCTACTATCTGTCAGTTGCTGTGCCATGTGCTGGGGCTACATAGATGGAGAGGGTCCATTCTTGAATCTCTAGTGTTTGAGTTTGGATTCATTCATCCACACTCTTTCACCAGTTCTCCTTGTTACTGGGGTGCTCATTTGTGAGCCCTGCTTCCATAGCTTGAGGAGTTTGTGTCTGTGGGCCAGGCTGAGCTTATGGAGCAAAGGGAATTGGAACCTTAGCCATAGCCAAGATGTCTAAACCTGGATTTGGAAATCTTAGAAGTCCAGCCTATCTTGAGCCATGGGGTCAGTACTATCGATAACTCAATCCCAAGTACTGTGTTTTAAAAGGGTCTTCAACATCTGCATTTCAGGAACATCCCCTTACATGAGTCAATAAGTTCCTTTTGAGCCACCTCCTACCCATCCCCATCCCTGAGCTGCTGTGGCTTCTACACACTTGAATGTCAATGATTAAGGGCAACAGAAGACAAGCTGGGAGCCAGGAAAGTGTCACAGATGAGCACTGTGTCAGCAGCATTCTGGATGAGCTTCCCATTCCTCTCCTTTTCATTCTAAGTAGTCCTAGGAGCCCCCAAACTTTGAATCAGCCAGTACAATTTTGAGGGAGTCCAATTGTCCGAAACTTGGGAGAATCATCCAGTGTCCATCTACACCCATGCCACCATTTCTAGGCCTTATCTGGACACCTCTAGGAGGACAGCAAAGTTTCCATTTGTACAGCTTTTAAAAAGTCACCTGATGCTGACCCAGCCGGACAGATTTCTCTGACAGTTAACTGTTTTCTTGGAGCTTTGATGAGCGGGGTTGTAAGTTTTCTAGCCATCAATTCAGATTCTAGAGCCTGATTAAACCTGGGCAAGGTAAGAGGGTTGTGTGATTTTGGAAACTTACTTTTCCTTTCCTTCCCTCCTTCCCTCCTTTCCTTCCTTCCTTCCTTCCTTCCTTCCTTCCTTCCTTCCTTCCTTCCTTCCTTCCTTCCTTCCTTCCTCCCTTCCTTCCTTCCTCCCTTCCCTTCCCTTCCCTTCCTCCCTCCATTCCTCCATCCATTCCTTCTCTCTCTTTCCCTCCCTCCTTTCCTTCCTTCTCTCTCTCACTCCCTCCCTCCCTTCCTTTCTTCCTTCCTTTCTTTCTGTCTCCCCCACTCCCCGTTTTAAGCAAGCTGGCTGAGAACTCTGTGTCCTCCACTTCAAAGGGCCAGTTGTCTTATTTTGATGTGGGCAGATTGAAAAGTAGGCTTTGAAAAGTAAGCGCTTTTTTTGTTTAATCTTTTCTCCTGGGATAGCTTTCAGAGCAATATATCCAAGTGTCAGTGAGGGGGTTCTGACGAGCACAGGTTCCCAGACTCTCAGCAGGATCATTCTCTAACAGAAATATAAAAGTGAAATATTAAAAACCCTGGAACGTGAACTCCATCTGCAGAGTACCCAGTATCTTGCCTGCTTGCACCATGGGAAAAAAAAATCTTGAAAAAAGAGGGAGGAGAAAAAAAGTGTTTTGAGTTAGAGGTTTACAGGTTTAGTAGAGCATAGTAACATCCCCTCAAAGAAGTGGGTGTTACTCTGTGACCCCCCAAAACGCTCCTCCTTTGACTCAGCCGCCAGAACACTCACCCTCCTCCGGCAGTACACCCCCTTTTCACATGCTAACTGAGGGGCCCGTGATTGGCTGAACAATAAACTGGTCACACTTGCTAAAGGGCTGCCGTCTTTCACACAATTAACCAAGACACATTAATCAAGCTGGCTGGACGGGGCTGCGCGGGCCTCCTGCAGTGGGGGAGGGGAGAGTTTGGTGAGCCTTAATAATACTCCACAGGAAGCAATAGTAAAGAACCGCAAGCTGGAGGAGATTCTGCTCTCAGAAAGTTGGAAGAGTTTAAAGCCCCAGTGGATGCCGTAGCTAGAATGGACAGGAGTTGTGGCGCTGAAGATCCCAGAAACTTAGAGCAAATTGAATGCTGGTCTTAGCTAAAATCTGCTAGTAGAAGACAGTACTGTGCATTCAAATGGCGACCCCCTAGAGACATTTTTACAAAGTTCCTTTAGCCTTCTTAGCTCTCCCTACCACTCCCACGAAAATGCACTCAGGAGCCACTTCCCTATGGAGACACAAGCACTGAGCAGTGGCTATGCCAAACCATACAGTGTAGGTTTCACTATGAGAACCAATAGAAATGAAGAATATACAAGAAGCATTCTGAATGAGATTTCCATTCCTTCCCAGTTCATTCAAAGTAGTCATAAGCACCCCTAAACTTTCAATTCAACCAGTACAATTTGAGGGAGCCCAGCTGGGAGCCCAGTCGAGGGTTCTCTCAATTTAGAACCAATTAAGAGAAAGTAGTAACTGGAAAGGTATTGGTCCTAAACTAAGTATCTGAAGGGTATTAAAAATAGTTAATTTTGAGAGAGAAAAAGTTAGCATTTGTATTTTTAATAATATTTTCTGCTTTTTCTTTTTCAAATTCCCTTTAAATAGATGTTCCAATGGCAGTGCAGAGCTGATAAGATCATACCTTAGAGACCAGTTTGCTACAGAATCGTGTAGGGCTTTTAAGAGAATCAACTAAATATTTAGACATTTCTCAACTAAAGTAAATGGAGGCCTTACTCCTCTGGAGGTTGTCCAGTCACCATCTCATTAGATGCAAAGATCCTGCGATAAAGAGAAACTTTTTTTCCTGCCTACATGATTGCAGCCCAGTTGTGGTTTTTAATGTGTCATTGATTGTTTCATCCAACTCCTTTTGCTCCACTGAAAGGGTCTGTCATAGCTCTGTTTGCTTCCTTAAACACGGTTTTTGAAAGCGCTCA